AAATGAGGTTTGGCACGTGGACCGCATCCAGTCCCTCACCAAACCACTGGTCTAAGCCAGTTTTCTTTGCAAGACTGTGTAGAAAAAGGGATGGAACCGACTGATTGGAAATAAAGTGGCCACTTGGGGCCACTTCACTTCTTCCCCTAAAATAGAGTACCCCCAAGTTCTGAGCTCTTATTCCATCTTCACAACCCCCACTATGGGATGATAGCATCAGGTGATATGTGCCAAAGGCCTCACTACAGGTTAGGCCAGTCCCAGGCAAGAGTCCTGATGATTAGTGAAGAAAGCCAGGAATAGCAGAATGGAATCCCAAAATCAACGGGGGAGAGCTGAGTTCTAGTCCTGATTCTGCCACTAACCCTGCGCCTAATTTGGGACAAGTGACTCCACACTTTGGGCCTCAGCGTCCCCATCTATAAAATGAGGGCCTTGACTGCAAGGATCAGGTGGGTTCCTTCCAGTGTTAGCATTCTTTGGCCAAAACCCAGACAATTCCTGGAGAGATGTTAGGACCAAGTCGAGCCAACTGGCCAGGCAGGAAAGGCCATTTTGCCTCTTATAAAGATTTCGTCAATCCTCTGGATTGATATATATATATTTTTAAAAAAGACATCATAACAGAAATCATGGCAAGAAATGGAACTGGAAACAAAAGTGGGGGATTCTCTAGATATAGGGGAAAGGGGGGGTAGAAACTTAGAATTGGTTTTGTTGTTTATTTGCTTATTTATGTTTGCAAGTCTGAAATAAATCTTATTGTTTTGCAAAACATATCCAGATAGCAATTTAAAGATGGTCTCTGGAGATTGCAACTATTGGATCAACTGTAATCAAGATTCAAAACAAAAGGTCAAACAAAACCCCTCCAAATTGCCTCCTTGCCTCTCACCACATTTGCCTTCCGGTTGGTTCCTCCTTAGTGCCTGGTCCCTTTACGTTGTTCTTCCGGTTTCTGGATGCAGTGGGCCTGGAGTATGGCGATCCCTTCTTCAAAGTTTTATTTTCCACACATTAAATAACTCAGAGTTTCAAAGGCATTGCTCAGGTTCAAAGTAAAATCTTCAGCCAAAAATTACCTTTCTTCCCACTAGCTCCCCCCCTTCCCTGTGAAGGAGACCAGGGCTTCTGCTGGGAATCCTGCTCCCATGACCTTTGCTGTAACCCTAAGAGTGACCTCTGGCTCCTGGGGTCAGGCCAGTCCTCTCTTTGCAGCTGCAAGCCCACCTGCCTGCTCAAATCCAGCCCAAGTGCCTGGACTAAATCACAGCTGCTCTGACTTAAAACTCCAGCCCTCAGGGGATGCCTTGACCGTTGGGGGATGGAGAAAGGGAGGGGGGGGGAGTGGGAGGGCGGGCTAAGGAAGGGGAAAAGAGAAACGAAAAAAAAATATGGCCAACTGTGCTAGCTCTTCCAGCCTGAGCTGACACAGCAGAAAGGGGAGGGAGGTGGTGGTGGGGGGAGGGGCAAGAAAAGTCAAGTTAAAAGCAGCATCTCTTGTCTTCCCAACTCCGTTTTGGTTGGCGCGGGGCACAGCCAGCTTTTCAAAGACTTGTTTCAAAGGGAGGGTGTGCGGGTGGGAATGGAATCTGCCTCCTTCAGTTTTCCATGATCTTGTTCAACCCAGACACAAATTTGGCCAATAAACCTAACTCTGGAACTTGACTTCAGCATGGCATTTGGACCAGGTTTGTAGTGGAAGCCAGGGCGATGGAGGCCAAACCCCTCAAAGAAGCAAAGGTTGAATTCATTTTATTGAGGTATAGGAATATATTTTTTTCTTTCCCAGAAGCACATTTTGTCTTTCTTTTGCTCTTATTTCTCAACGACAGTACTGAAACCCAGAATCCACTTCTCCCTGTATCCCAAACTTGATGTCTCCCAGTCACAGGGAGATCTCCCAGACTCGGGCAAGGATGCGCGCCGCCCTCCCGCCCACAAAGCCACAGGCTCCTTCCGCAAACAATGCCCAGAGCAAAGCCCGGTCTTTCCTTGACTCGACTCAACTCACCGATATTTATTGAGGTTGGCCCAATAAATAACTCCAGTCTCCCGTCTCCCTTCAATCTCACACACACTGCCCTCTGTTTCTATATCTATCTTTGCCCCTGAACTGGCCAAAATAAAATGCAGGGCCCGGCGCGATCCCAGCCCCAGGCTCGCCTGTGGACTCCGTCTCCCGTTGCGCAGCAACCCGCCCAGCAAAACACCAGTCTCCGCCCTCCGCCCTCCGCCCTCCGCCCTTCCTCCCAGAAGCTTTGGCTGCCTGCCATCTCGTTCTCCTCCGTTCCCCATTACTGATTCTAGAAATGCACTTTTTTTTAGGATCGAAAAAATATATATACTTCTATATATGCATATATGTTTTTATATGTTTTTTGTTGTGTATGTGTGTGCGTGTGTGAGATCTATACCTGTATCAATATCTCTATGGAAACCACGGGACGGAGGGGCAAACCCAAGTTCGCACTGCTGGTTTTGGTAGGGGAGAGTGGTGGTAAAGTGTTGGGGAGCAAGAATTTTGGCCAAAGAAGCCGACACTCTCTTTCATCTCTGTTCATTTTCCTCTTTTTAAGAACTGCCTCTGTGCCATCTCCCCTTTTGGGGACCTACCCAACGGTTTTCGAGCAGAAAAGCTATAGCCAGGAGCGCCCACTCCCATCCCATCTGTCCCAGGGGAGGGCGTCAGCCACTGGCACCAGTTGAACGCAGCTATTCAGCAACTGAAGTTAGTCAGGCACCTGCCTAAGGTGGGGCGGAGTCGGTGAGAAGGGCTGGGGCGGGGCGCCTGCCAAGTGTGGGCCAGAGGTACCTTGAAGGTGGGGGCTGGGGAAGGGGCTGCAGAGAAATCTAAAGGGCATCTTGCTTGGGACAAAAGTCGGTATGTGTGTGTGTGTGTGTGTGTGTGTGTGTGTGTGTGTGTGTGTGTGTGTGTGGTCGGTTGAACTGGAAAGTTGGATGTGCCTATTCGCTCTCCCAGCAACTGCGCGTGCGTGCGTGCGCCCTGCGCGCACACCCTGTGCATTAACCACATTACACCAACCACACCGCTGGGCAAATAAAAATGGGGCCAGAATGCGGCTGATACCATGCATACTTTCGATGAGACTGGGTTGTTACCCAGAGCGCTCGCTTCCAAACCAGGAAATCGATTCATACCCCTTCCCCGCCTTCCCCCATTCCTGCATCCCTGCTAAGCTTTTCCAAATCCACATCCCCAAGATGAAGGCAGGCGGGACCACCTCTGAAAAGTGGCACTTAATAATAATAACTCCACAAACCGGCCTCTGGGGCCTCCCTGGCCTGCACGTTGCCCTCCGTTCTTTTTTTGCACGCAGCAATCCCGAGACAGAGACTATCTCTTGCAAAGCTGGAGGGGTGGCCGCCTGCAATAGGCAAAACCTGCAGGGTTTTCGGGGATTGAGATTGAACCCAGGAAGCTCTCCTGCCTCTTCTCAAGTGCCTACGCACTCCTTCCTACATGATAGTGTCTGTAGTTTGCAGTTTAAGAAAACTCATGTTGGGGGTACTTGTAATGGAAGGGGTAGGAGAGAAGGGCATCGTCCTGGGATGAAAATATACAGTATAAACATTATATGCAGCCAAGTCTTAACCCCTTATGGGGAGAATTTATAACCATTCTCACCTCTCAGAACGCAGACTTTTGTGTATAGTTTATTTTTTTTAAAAAATTTAAGATCAGATAACGCTTTCCAAAAAACCAAACCAACCCCCCCCCCCAAAAAAAAACCAACCCAGTCGAAGGTCAGAACTGTTCTCAAGTAGCTCCGTCAACATTTTAAACCCTAGACTCCAGGCGCTGAGAATTTACGGGCAGCGCAACCCGGGGGCGGGGTCATTTGGGGGCGGGGGGGGTTGCACGGGGGCGTTGTCTTTCTCCTCTCCGCCCCGTTTACTTTGTATTCTGCATTTCCAGGGCCCCTCTTACACTTACACCACACCCACTTGTGATCAGGTTTGAGAGATGGGGGCGGGGGGAGGGGTTAGTACTGACGGGGAAGTTGGGATGTCTGAATTTCACATCTCCCTCTTGCCTCCCGATCCTATATCCATCTCTCTTCCTAGGTAAAAGCTTAACTGGGGAGGGGAAAAAGGAATTCGATTCAGGGACGAACATCCAGCACAGGAACATGAAATCCTTCCTATCCCTTCCCCTTCCTCCCGCGACCCCCTCCCCCACTATCCTACTGACCTCCCCACAGCTGCGGTGCGTGCCTAAAGTAATCTTTCTCTTCTTGGAAGGGAAAACGGTATTATGCATTTAAATCTATTTTACTATCTATCACAATCAATCATAGCAAATAAAAAATAATAGGTGTGCACGTGGGAGGGGCATCAAAGCCCCCACCGGAAAGACATTAGTTACCAAGGGTGCCTGTGTGTGTTCGCGCGCGCGTGCGCGCGCGCTCGCATGTGTGTCGGGGTAGACAGAAACGTCAGAAGGGGGTTGGTAGGGGGGAAGGGGGCTGGGAGGGACAAAGGTGGAATGCGCACAGAAGACCGGTAACGTGCCTCTCTCCAGGTCCCCAGTTAAAAGCAATATTTTAACAAAGATTATGTTTTTTCAAATTCAGAAAACAAAAACGTGTTGGGTGGGTAGGGGGTAGTGGAGGAGAGAACGGATTATAAATATGCACCCTTTGAAACTGTAGACTGAGTACATGGGGATTGGGACCTTGAGACCAAATTGGAGCTCAGAGTCAGTATTCTGGCGCGGGGGGGAGTGGGGGAGTGGAGTAGGGTGGGGGCAGGGTCGAGGAGAAGGAGCGAAAAACGTGAGAGGCTCGGCTAGACAGTAGCCCGGGGAAGTTGGATCAGTCAGGGCTCCAATTTCGAGGTGCAAAGACCCTCCCCGCCCTCCTCCAGGCTGCCCCCCCGGCTCTCAGCCACTTTTTGGGCAAAGCGCGCGGGGCCAGCCCGTCCCCTGTCCCCTGCCCGTGCGCCGTGTAACTGACTGGCACACTGAGCGTGCTCACCGATCTTGACTTGCTCGCGGTAGCTCTTTTCGTTGAGGCAAACCCCGCGGCCGTGCAGCAGGGCGTGCAGCGGCTTCTCCTCGTCCTGCCGGGGGAGGCAGCGCAGCCCCTGGGCGCAGCGCTCAGTGTAGACGCCGCACGACTGCCCCTCCGCCAGGGCGCAAGTCATGCAGCAGCCGCAGCCCGGCTCCTTGACCAGCTCGCAGCCCAAGGGGCTGGGGGGGCACATGGAGAGGGCTTTCTCGTCGCAGGGCTCGCAGTGCACGAAGGAGCCCAGGCCCTGGGCCGGTCCCGCACAGGCGGCCAGCAGCAGGAGGACCGCGGTGAGCACCATCTTCTCCGAATCTCTCCCTTTACCTTGGGGCGGGGCAGGAGAACGACAGTGCTGGGGGAAAGGGGCCAGGAGGGCGCCCAGAGATTTTTTTTTTTAAATTTCTGGCAGGTGGAGCAGGTCACCTCCCCCAGACAATTGCAAAATGTGGGGAGAGATGGAGGGCTGCAGAGGCAAGTTCTAGTTGCAGAGGATAAAGACTCGCAACAGGTTGGGGGAAAAGAGCAGCGCCAGGTGCATGCGCAGGGAGTGGGGTCAAAGAAACAGCCTTTCCAAGCCCGACCTGGTCAGAACTGCAGGGGGAAAAGCCCCAAATTGTTCACCCCAAAGCAACCACCGAAATAATGAGCTCGGAGGCTGTGGAGGAGACGGGGTGGGGGGAGAAAAATGGATTTATCTTAAAATTTTTTGTTTAAAATTTAAAGTACACCCTCCTCCTTTCTAACCCTCAGCGGCTAGCGGCGCGTATCTGCCGCGGAACAGGTAGGAGGCGGCGGCTGCAGCCGCGAGGGTGGGGAAAAATGTCGAAATCAAGAAATGAAAAAAACCAAAAAACAAAATCCCAAACCCTAACACTTCTTTTCTCCCACTCTGCCACCACCTCTTCGAAATTCGCAGGTTCTGCGTGAAGCCCGGAGAAGGGTGCAAACGGAGGAGGGAGTAATTAGAAGGAGCAAAAAAGAGGAAAAACCCCACACCGCTTTGCAGCTCTTCCTAGCTCTTTTACCCCCGCAGAAGTTTCCAAAGAGACTACCGGCTCCGGTCGAGCAGGCGCTTTTAAATAGACGGCCCCTGGCTGCCAGCCAGTTTGTAGCTGCAATTTGAGCTCCCCAACACCCAACCCAGGCAAGGATGCCAAGGAGCTTTGCAGTACGAACTCACACGGGGTGGGGGTGGGGAGAGGCCTTCGAGACACGGGGGCTCCCCTTCGCTCCCTGAACAGCGCCCTCCTCCCCCCGGAATGTAAGAAAGGGGCATGGGGGACCGGGTTGGGGCTGCACGGGGGCGGAGGAGCTGGGTGAGTGGAAGAGAGAGTTCTTCAGAGTACGGTGGACACAATGAGAAGCAACCCCCTCCCTCTCACCCCTTAACTAGCTTAGACCCAGGCTGGAGGGAGAAGCACTTTCTTATTAGTCAACTGGATATATACAGTGCCCAAGAAATTCTTCCCAAGCTTTGGGAAATGGCTGTCTGCTGGTGTCTAAGTTACCATGTAAGGTGTGTGTGTGTGTGTGTGTGTGTGTGTGTGTGTGTGTGTGTGTGTGTGTGTGTGTGTGTTGGGGAGGGGCGCTGTTAGTGTAGGATGGTCAGCCATGGGTGGTGAGCTGAATTAAAAATAAAGAAAAAGAAGAAAAACTGGATTCCCCCCCCCCTAAAAGCCTGGGGAAGGGGATTTAATCAAAAGTCTCTGTTGCTGGTGGAGTGATTGTCTTTGGGCATATGGTCCAGACGTGGCCACTTTCCTTAGGCTACATTGCTGGCCCAGGGAAGGGGTGTGTGTGTGTGTGTGTGTGTGTGTTGTGTGTGTGTGTGTGTGTGTGTGTTGTGTGCTTGCAGGAAGAACAGCAGTAAAACCACTGCATCACAGGGAGCAGTGAGTTTCAGGGACGGGCACTTGGAGGAAATGCCCAGTCTGAAAAATTTGCCTGGCGACCTAAAATGTCCTGGGGTGGGATTTTTAGATGGAAGGAAGGCAGACTGGAGCAATACTTTCCCTCCACATTCTTTTAAAGGGGCATTTCTGTTGGGCAGGGCACATCTTTGGAGGGACCGTGTGACAGTCCAGAAAGACACCCTGTCATAAGGTTAATGGGCACACGCAGGCACATCCCGAGCATATGAGCTGACGGGGGCACAGGACTTGCTCTGAAGGGATTCTGACCACAACATTATTATCCCATGTGAACCTCAGACAATCTATCCAGACACTCTGGACGCCTTCTTTCCTTGGTAAAATGAAAGAAAGCTAGTCTTAAAAGAAGGAATGTGGCGATTTTAGTTTTTTTCTGGAAATTGACCCGGACAGGCTGTGGACCTCACAGCTAGGTCCAAGAGATACTGCTGGGGAGAAGCTGGGGTGTTCCATTTCCTCCATCCCCTTGGAAGCGCTCTAACTTTCCTTGGGAAAAGGGGCTGCATTTCATGAAGTTTGCCACTAGACTGCACCCTTATCTATGATAAGAATTCTTTCTGCAAGGGCTGCATTTAAGAGAATATTTCTCTTGCTGGTTTGGTTCAGGAGCAATTCTTTCTACGCTGTTAACACCCCCCAGGTCCTGATCTTTTTTCTCACTTATCTATTTGCCGAAAGGCACATCTTTAAAAAAAAAACAACGAGGCTAAAGTTTAAAGTTGTTCTCTCTCGTTCGCATTGCCAGAGGGGTTTTAGACGTTGGCTGGGTGAGGGAGGAGGAGCTGTGTGTAACGATTGAAAAAAACAACAAAAAAAAGCAGCGAGGCTCCTTGTCATTTTTTTCTCGCCTCTCTTGAGGCTTGGTAAGGTAGGGGGAAAATTGATATTACAAAATTTGGTTGAAATATTTGAGGAGTGAGGTCGGTCATGTGTTATTTCCCCTTTGTGTCAAGTTCAAACTAGAAGAGTGGCCGGCCGAAGAGTGTGCAGGTTGTATTCCGTCCCCTGCTCTTAGTTCTGCCCCACTCTGCAAAGCAAAACCCCGGGCACACTGGTAGCATTTAAGATGAACGGGGAAACTGTGGTGCTCCCTCCAGAGAAACATGAATTGCCTGGTTCCAGCCACCCTCTATTCTGAGAGGGGCGGCCTCCAGTGACGCGTCTTTTTGTCTAGCCGACTTCCAGTGGCTGGAAAATAAAATGTGTGAGGACAGGTAAAAGGAAGAGAGGATGATTCATAGAAACATGAAAAGGGTAGGGAGAAACAAGGAGAATGTGGCCGAAGCTGGTCCTTGGGTAGGGCGGCAGAGGGGGGCCATGGAGAGAGGGTAGTCTGCAGGTCTGTGAATGTTGAGTGACCATTCTGCTCCTCCACTTACAAGTGGGCTTATGTCGTGAGGGATTGAAAGCTGATGAGTCATCAGCTGCTGTCCAAGGGCCCCTCAGGTCGGCTCCCTGGGAGGGCACAAGAAAGAATTCTCAGTAGCCTGGGATTGTCTATAGTAATTTTGTCCAAAGACGGGATACTGGCTGGATAGGTTTGCCAGTAAGAGTCCATAATGAACGTATGACAGTGGAGTGGGAAGGTGTGTTATGGGAAGTTGGGTTATGAGGGTTGCCCAGGAGCCTTTCTTGATTCCAGTCCCCATCTCCTCCATTTTGAAGGCCTAGGTCTGTTCACAATCACCTTCGGAAGATTGCTTCTGGAAAAAATAGTTTGCATCAATGAACTTAATTGGGAGGGGCTCCTTTATTCCTGCCAGATGCACACGCCAGAGGCCAGGTTCCCTTTCCTCCTCCACTGCCACAAGCTGCCCAGCTCTGGCATATTGGAGTTTTGATGCCTTTCAACTACACCTTTCTTGGACATGTAAGAAATTAGATAGCATCCACTTGGGTCCCGTTCCCCAGAGATCACCCCTTCCCATTCCTTGAAAAGATTAACTGGATATCAAAACCAAGTTTTAAGAAATGCAATCGAGGGAAAGATTTGTGCTTTTATATACATAACTTTCCAAAGGGTGTACAGTGGCCTGCCGAGTGGCGCAATGGTTAAGAACTGGCTTGGAATGCCAGGGGGCCC